TGTGGCTACAACTACGAAGAAGATGACCAGCACTAGGGGCTGCAGAGGCGAACGGGATAATGGCGTTGAGGGTGCACTGGTGATATTCGGACCAGATACGCTTGGGGAAGCACTCGGAGACGGGCGTAGGTCATTCCGGTCTCTTGACTATTCTCGCCAACTCTTGCTGATCAGCCAATAACAGACCCGACTATTACCCCATCTAAGAACATTCGTCCGGACCTTGTCTTGTGCATCTTGAAGCTTGGCCTTCTACTCGGTTGACGACGATGACCAAGGTTCTCCTCCCTCCCTCGACTTATGGCCCTCCCGCCCCGACAGACATACAGCCATTGATGCCCATACACGTACGCTCACCCCTCCGAGGACCAAATTTCATGGATCTATGTCGCCAGCATGACAATGCCTATCAAAGGCTGGGCTGGAGAAGAGCGTGGTAGTCCTGCGCAGTACCGCCAGATGCGGTGTTGGAGCGCAAGGGGAGGCTTGACGTAGCCGTTACCTGTGGACTGTCTGCTTAGCGCGTGTGCGCCTGTGAGGCCTGGATGCGCACATGGTAGCTCGGGTCGAGGCCGCAAGACCTGCCTACCCACGACGGTACTGCCTCCTGCGCTGAACCTGCAACAAGCCTCAAATGTACTCTGCGGACACCTTCACGCGCAAGGCGATGAAGACATGTAGACAATGGTTGGACGGGCAAGGAGGGATAAACGAGGTGTGGATGAAGTGGATGCAGGCGGAGGGGCTAGGTTGCGAGAGGATGGCAAGTATGTCATTGACGACAGTGGATCGGGTAAGACTGCTCTCTTTTGCTTGTTTCATAGTCGTACTCATCGAATTGATCTCCATAGGAATGGGACGGCGAAGGCAACGACACCGACTTCGGGAAGCACGAGTGCTCTGCCACCGCGACGTTGCCAAGCGCGCTGACTTGCTTCAAGTCGTATTGCAAGCTACCGCTTGTACACAATGCTAGATAATCGACTGCGCGCGGGCGCTCTTGTCATCACGGCACAGCGCCTCGATCACTTTCCATACTGCGCGTCCAACGCCTAGCCGGGAGTGTGCACTCAGCCGCAAATATACGCTCAACCTTCGCGCTCCCTGTTTTCCTCACCTCATACCTCTTCCACCTCGCTTTCAGCATCTCAGTGCCACACTGGGCTTGCGTGCGATCATGCGTACCATCCAACGTCAAACCTCTCCGCATCACGCAATACTCGAATCCGGTCGCGTTCATCTCGAGCGTGTCCATTCCCGGCCCACAGTCTCGGCGATGAAGCTGCCGTATTCATCTTGTGAACGGTTGAACGGATGGATCAGGAGCCTGAAAGGAGGACGCGTTGGCGTCTTTGCTCGGATGGGCACGATATAGGCGCCGCCGCCGAGCGCTCAGCGCTCAGCGTGCGGGCGTCTATTAGGATCTGGAGACATACCTGATTTGCGACACAGACACATCAAATCGTGCTCTCGGAGTCTAGACTAGCTCATGCGTCCATCTGCGAGCCTTATAATCTTCGTGCATCCCATGGCAATGGTGAACGCACACGCCCGACTTGATGTTTATGCGCGCGCGAGAAGCCATTGACCGAGTTGAGGTCGAGATTGAGTGGGTAGGGGTTGGATGTTGAAGAACTTGCCCGTGAGATGGGTACGAACATGAAGAGTTCGGGCCGAGGCGGACGGGATGCGGCGAGAGCGGTTGGCGCTACGGAGAGAACAGTGGTGAAGATGGAGGAGTACACAGATGTTGTGGTTTGAGTCGGATATCGTTAGACCTGGATACGCGATGCGCGGCCGCTGTTCGTCCTTCTGCGTCACCTCAGCAGCGAACCCAAACACAACTCGCTGAAAGCGCACCTATGGAAACGAGTCCGATAACTTGCTGCACCAGGGTGATGGGCGGCGCGCATACGGATAGCGGGGAGGACGAAGCTGGGAGACGCGAGGAGGAATGGAAAGAGTGTGGGAGGTGACGAAGATGGCGTCCCAGTAGCGTTGGCGATCGGTATCCGAACTAGTTCTGCAGCGAGCTCGTAGGTATGGCTATGATTTCTTACTGTCTTGAAAGCCTTGCTGATCCTGTCCAGCAGAGCGACAAAGCGGGCGGCAATATGGTCAAATCACGTCACACCAGCTATATGCGGGTGCACATAACTTGCTCAACACGTCCTCCATGCTCGCTGCGCGTGATGAACATGCGAGCTCGCTCACTCAGCCATGGACGCCTGTCCGTCCATTCGCTCTTTTGTCCGCCCTCACCGACAGCCCTCGCTGCTCTTCCCAATGGTGCGGCACTCCGTGGCTTTGGCGTACGGCTTCGACATCGGACTAATAGAGATCATCGCAGGACCGTAGAGATGAGCGGGATAAGGCTGTTGCGGTTGGTGTTGCGGTTGGACAGATGGATACGAGGAACGTGCGAGAACGGCGTCTTTCCTTGGCTTGTGGTCGATATTCAGGCGCTACAATGACCAGCAAACGAATCGTTTGCAACGCTTGGTTTCCTTTACCTACGAGGCGCCACCAACGATGATGAGCGCGTGCTCTCCTGGGCGTCTCTCTACGCCCACGGGCATCTGCCACGCCCACCCCCGGGCTTCATCATCCTCGCACTCGCCCTGGCTTCAAGGAACGCACCCATCTGGATCGATTCTCATTCGCAGTGCGCAAGGAGCTGTCGACTGGATCAGGGTTGAGCGAATAGGAGTTTGGACGGCGAATGCTCAGTTCACGAGAAGGATACGGGCGCGACGGCTGTGGGCCGAGATCCACGAGACGTAGCTAGGCCTACTCGGGCTACCTGGAGAACGAGTAGTACGTGGATGTTGGTACTCGGGATGGGGGGCAATGCTTAGTTGCGTACATCGCAGTAACGGTTATCACTGTGGATATACAGCAGATGCAATATATGGCGATTAGCAAAGAACACGCGTACAGTAAACTAAGAGATCCACTAGTATCAGGAAGCTACGGAGTAAGAATCATGTGCTGTCGTTCACACTACAGTCGCGGCGTCTTCAGCGCTAGCCTGGCTGGACCGGTGAGACTGTACGGAGCCAACCTGCACGCAAGACGTCCTCCTTCGAGCGTCCAAAGGTCAAGTACCCACCTCTCTTCGAAGTCCGGACTGTGCGCGATGTAGTTCTGTTCTTCTTGGAACTGGATGCCAGGCGGATCCGAAGTACTTGAGCGTATCGTGCGTGGGTATCGCCGCCGTGGGGTCGACTAGCTTCTCACCATAACTTGGGGAACCGTTGCTTTCTGCAAAGCACGGCTCTGGACGAGCCAGGTCCCTGGTCCAGGATCAGTAACCTCGGAAAGGTTGTCCAGTACTGGAGGGTATTTTCAAACCTGACATCCAGCTCCTTCACGTCCGAGTCTCTTTGAGTGATGCGCAATTGATGGTCCAGGCGCGAGGCGACGCGGCCTTCTCCCCTTTGCCCCTCGGATTTGCCTGTTGCGAGTTCATACTCCCTTCAACCGCAGAGAGAACTGTATGTAACAGTACGTCGGTAACGAGGAACACTGGGGAGAGGTTGAGGAGAATGCCTATCCCAGGACGAGGCATCGCTTGCCTCGTGTTCGTGAGCTGTGGCGTCGCGTGGGGCACTGCCACTTCGAATCGAAAACGGGTGGGGGTCGAGACGTCGATCTCGCTTGTGAATACTGGGTCGCTTACCATGAGGTTGACAGACGATGCGTGAAGGCTATCCAAGGCTCTTGAACAGTGGCTAATGTCGCGAACGCAGGCGGCATTATCCAACCAGATGCTCTCCGAGTCGTCGCTCGTCCCACGACCGTCAGAGCGGCCCTTTGGCGGGCAAGATCCGTTCTCTAGGATATTCAACATTGGGTAGAACTCCACTCTCTACTGCACTCAAGAGCGACGTCAAAACGCGATTGTCGCTGCCGAGCAGATGCACCCTCGCATATACCAAATAAGAGCAAACAAGACAGTGCCGCGGCTCACGTGGGCTTCGGCCTGTTCCCTTCCATCAGGCTTCATTCACTTGACTACGACCAACCACGATGTGGGTATCTGAAGGCAAGGCGCGGCACCGCGATGACCTAGCCAGGTGCTGATGATCTAAGCTATTACACAGAAATCTTTTCCGTCTTGTCACTGTTTACTCAAGACCGACGGTTCTGCTATCGATCGTTCGGCAATAACTCACCCACTTCTCCTGTGCGCTCTCTGTCGGCAACGATCCACTAGAGCACCACTTTTCTTTTCAGCTACGATCCTATTTTACCTTCTCCCTTCGTCTGGTGTCAGCTCGCGTCACTGTTGACACATCGACGACGGAATTCATACCACATATCAACGAGCATCTTATCGTCTTCCATGAACGGAACATCATCCAAACGACTTGCGTCGCCGCAGAACCCTACACCTTTCCCGCTGTAGCAGGTCCTCGAAAGCTCCATCAACTCTGCCCGCACGGATTTCTCTCGGGGATGCGAATTTCACCTTCGGCCCGGAGATAAGATCTGCGACAAGAGTAAGTCAGTAGATGATTATTGGGGTCGGGTTCCCCACGCATACAACACACTCATCGAGCTCAGATACTCTGCATACGCGCACCGTCGGAGAACGTTGAGTAACTCTGCGAGGAGGGCATGCGTCGGGCCAATTGCCCGGTGCTATGATGGGGATGCTACAACGCGACGCGACGCGTCGATGACTCAGCTGCACGCTCTCCGCTCTCGCTCTCGTGCTCGCGCTCTCTCTACTCCCCCTTGCATTAAATTCCACTGTAGTTGATTTTTCTCTGGAAACAAGCGAGCTCCCAGTCTGATGAGGTGAACAAGGTCTATGCGCGGATAGGACTCCCGGCATGCGGGCTTCGATTGGCTCGCCGGTTTTCGGCAATGAGATTTTGTGTCAAGACACCGTCCGGAGATGAGATTTGCGGGCCCGGTATGCGTGGGCTTCCGGGGCCTTGCTGTAGCTTGCCTGGGGGGGTCGACATCCACCGCCACGTCCCACTCTTGTCATGAGACGGTTTGGCATCGGCGACAATGCTCGGCAGCGCAAACGCCATGCTGGTGGATTCCTCTTCGATATCCAAGCACCCAAGCTCTCATCTAGCACGTTCCTCACCCCCCCCATTGGGCACCTCTCTACCTTCACATTCGTCTCCGACAAGCTACCGGTACAGAATGATGGCCCACCTGCTTTGGCGCATAGTGGCCCCGGAGGAAAGTCTGTGATGCTCAATAGCGTTATAATCAAACTAGGTGCCGAGAAGCTTGCCGATGCATTCAAGACACCCTTCCGCGGCATATGTCTTAAAGACGCGGAAGCTCAGAGTACGTGTTCAGTTCACAACGCAAGTTAGAGCTGACAGTGTACACAGATGAGGAAAACGTCGCGGCCGAACCCATTCACGAGTCCTTGCCCGAAAGCGATACAGGCTTGACATCGACAGCACCCCAACCGGACAAGCCGTCCATTTCTCGGCGCCTTCGAAAACTCTTCAACGTAAGTGACGTGTACATGCCTGATGCCTTGAGGGCTCACAGAACGTAGGAGTTCCCGATACTGCCATGGAAGATGAGATGGCGTGAGCTCTTCCTACGGGAAAGTATACGCCTGGACGGTCGCGCCGAGGCATTGGGTCTAACGAGCTGCCCCGGGTGTCATAAAGAAGGATTTCCTGATTACCGGTGCGAAGATTGCCGTGGCGCGGACCTTTGCAAAGATTGTACTCTGCACTGGCACCGGTACTCGCCTTTGCACAGAATCGAGGTACGTCTATGTGCATGCTCGTGTGCTGAAATCAATGCTGATCTGTTATAGCGTTATAATGAAACGAAGGGGTTCTACGAGAAAGTGAATGGGTCTGAACTGGGGATTCGTATTCAACTCATGCACCGACCCGGCGAAGTTTGCAACTTTCGCTCCCTTCATTCGATAAGCGACTTCACCGTGATACATACCAATGGCATTCACCAAATTCCTGTCGACTTTTGCAAGTGCGAACTCGGACGTGACATTCCGTACCATATCCAGCTGATGCGATGGCGTTTCTGGCCTGCTACATGCGAAAACCCACAGACGGCGACCACCTTCGAGGCCCTAGATCTGTTTACGCGACTGTCAGTACTGGGCCGACTGAACGTGTACGACTTCTACCGTGCTCTGGAAGCGGCGACCGATGCGGCAAAACTCAAAGGGGTCGCCGTTCGTGTAATCTCCACATTTTGCAAGATAACAAGCTGACAGCATATGCAGTGTGTGAGGCAACAGTTGTCTAATTGTGTTCGCCAATTTCGCCATATCATGATGTTTAAGCGAGCTGGTCGAGGGCACGAACCTGGTGGGATTGCCGGAACTCCATCAGGAGCTTGTGCGGTCCGTTGCCCCGCTTGCCCGAACTTCGAGCTCAACGAGGATAAAGACGATACCGAGGGCCTATATTCGTGAGCGCGACTATGAACCTTGTCTGATCAGTGCTGACGTTGTTTAGGTGGCTTAAGCGCGTCATCCTGGCGTTAGATGCCAACTTTCGACTATCCAACAAGTTGCGATGTTCGTCAAAGGAGACAGACCCGCATCTCACGGACGGCAAGGCATACATGGCACCTTGGAAGGACTATGAAGCCCATACAGCTGCAACTGTGAAGGAGTTGGCCCAGCCTGTAAGTCGTGTCTCTAGTTCTTGATTCGTACGGCGATTGATATGGCCCGTCTGTAGTCCACGTGTAATAAATTCGCTGCTGTCGAGATGGCGAATGCAAGGGGTGGAAAGGGGCAACGTTCTACCGGCGTGGCTGCATGCTTATGTGCACGTCATGAGATAGTTCAACCCCTCGGCGTGGCCCCTTTGCGCAAAGGAGAGCGGTACGTGACAGACTTCTCTAACCACTTCAACTGCGTTCTGAGAAGGACTCTAGTTATGAATCGATCGACTGGATATTATGTGGCGCACTGTCGCATATTCATGCTCTGGAAGTGACTATCTCATACGACGTCGTTTGCCAGTACTGCAAGAAACTTGCAGCTCGCCTCGCGCTCATACCATGTACGCGCGTTATCTGGGCGGGCGCACAGACGTTTGCTTCACTACTCGGCGAAGGACGCATCTCTTACGTGGTCCCTAAGTTCCACCTCTACGCCCACAAGGTCCATTGTCAACTCCGATTTGCATTGAATTGGCTCTTTGGAACGGCCGTTACAGACGGTGAAGCGCCGGAGCGCCTGTGGTCAAATACCAACGCGGCGGTATCAAGTTTACGCGAGATGGGTCCTGGCGGTAACAACGACGTGCTGGATGATATGTTCGGTGCATGGAACTGGCAAAAAACGTGCCGCATGAGTGAGTTCACTAGTAAGTTCTTGAAGTGAAGTGACTTAGTCCTGATTGCGTCCCAGATTCGTCCCTATTGTTGCGAATGGATCGTGCGCTTGATGAGGGCGAAATGATCACCGGTGTTTATACGGATCTTACCAGAGCGTTGCGAGCAATGCAACCCGAGAAGCTCACCAAGACGGACAATGCCGTCAAGGCTTGGGATAGCGGCGACAAGACTAAGATGAAGGACTCGCAATGCCCATACTACGCGAAGAAACAAGGCGAGTATGGATCTTCATGTTGATGATCGCTCGGAGTGCGCTAATAGCATGGTATCTTCACAAGCCTTGTCAATGGCACAGATCAGGTCGCAATCTAATGAACTTGGATCTCGTCATACGGACAAGGCAGTGTATAGTGACCCTGACGAGGAAGTAGCATTTGCGGAGTGCATCCGGCGTGGGATGCAGATCGAAGACGAGAGGTTGGGCTTCGATTGAGTCTTCACGATCATACGACTCATCGGTTATTCAGGACGCGTATTGACCTCAGGCTTTATCATGAAGACCCTACAGATAAGCAGGCCACGGCGAGGACCAAGGCACTCAACGTATTGGTTCAATCCATCATCGGTTTCCGCGCGGAACAAGAAGCTTGTATGCCATCGACGCATGCTACTTTGACGGACGAAGAACGGTATCCTGACCGGGAGAGCGCCATGACCGTCCAATTGTGCTTGCCCTCGGACCCTCCAGACGGAGACGAGTTGCATGTTCCTGCCGCGGCACGAGTAGTCGAGAGCAGGCTTCGGTGGGCGGCTATGGTGGACGAGCTTGATCGCCTCTTACACCAGTTGCGCTTGAAGGGCTGTCTACACAAGTTCAAGGTGGCGCACATCACCGGTCAGAACATGAGTATCAGCGCTCAAGCCACGCAAGCCGCTGTCAACACCCACATCAAGAAGGCTGCTGATGCTTACAGGCGCCATCGGGCTGCCTATCTCAAACTCGAGGGCAAGGGTCCTTGGGAGGACACCATGCGCGAGCTACAGGACTCGGATTGTCGCTCCTTGGGCGATAGGCTCATCGAGCAGATTGAGAAGATGTCGCATAAGCGTGTGACGGCTTTTCTCCAGGGAAAGCGGAAAGCAGATTCATCCGGCGAAACGAACTACAAGTTGCCATGGATTTGGTTCAACTGGACCGAGACATCGGATGATGCGGTATCCGACGGTGCGTGACATCTGAGATGGTCGATGGAGATTCAGGACACCTTGCTGACGTCGCGCAGAACTCATGGCGGAGTGGGCCAAATCCCGCGCGAGCGCCATACACTGGGTGCAAGAAGTTCGTCTTGTCGACGCTGAAATGCAACGCGTTCTGAACTTCAACGAATCCATGGCTCGCATTTGGGATTTACGTCGCGATTGTCACGAAACCATCGATGTTGGGGAAGATCAAGGGTGGGCTTGCGACGATGGTTGGGTCGACGGTATGCACGCTTATGCATCAAAACAAGCCTACATCCGCAGAGCACAAGCCGATAAGTGGCGCATGGAGTTTGCTCCATTGAGAGCGGAAGCACGGAGGTTCTTGGCGGTGCATACGGACGACGGACTTTCCGTTGACCCCTCGACAATACTGCCAGCCAGAGAAGTGGAGGAGATGAAGCACCAGATTCACACTCGTCGTGACAGGCGCAAGAAAGCGAAACGCCCTCGGCCAGCGAAGGACGACGCTACGCACAAATCTGCGCCACGGGACGACGAGGACGATTCTGACGAACCGGCACTCGGTGCTCACGATGGTCAGGCATCGAACAAGAGGAAGCGATGCAACACAGCCAAGCCAAAGAGTAGCAGGAAGAGACAGCGAAAACAGCTCTCCGAATAGAGAGCGACTTGGATTTCGTACCTGACATCATGTAGAGCATTCTGCGAGACCTATCATCTTGCGCGGCATCCTGTGGGGCCATGTGTGACTTCATAGTTTGCAGCCGAATAAGCGCGGCATGATAAGATACAGCACGACTCTCGGACTACATTAATGCAAGCCATAGAAGACTTGGCTGACAAGAACCTGGCGGCCAACGTGGAGTGAGAGGCGACAGTGGCTGTACATGCGCGCTTTCGCGACCGGCGGCTGGAGTCGCGCGGCGTGTACGAAATCGGGTCTGTATAGGCCAATAGTACCATGACGGCGTCTGAAAGGCGCTGGGAAGGACTGTGGCCTACAGTGCACTCGCTCCCATGTGTAGGAGCTTAGAGCTGGAGAACCGAAGAAGGAGGGCGACGAGAACGCCGGGCCTCAGCGATACGAGCTCGGTAGACCCGGGGAGCCCGACGTAGTCGCTCACGGTCGTAGAGGTCCGACCCACGACGATAAATAGAGCGTAGACGAAGAGCGCGCTCATAGGAAGCGAGGGAATTGACGAGTCCAGCGTCCACAGCGGCCTCGGTAGTGCTCGGTAGCTCCGGAAGTACCGACAAAGCGCCTATCGGGCGCCGTGAGCCTCATGCAGTCGCGTCCGGTGGAAGC